GTTTCGCATAAATTACATACATACCACAACCAAAAGTGAAGTACTTTCTTTACATGAAAAACTTTCTTTGCAACAATTTGTGGAAGATCTGTTGTAATTCCGACATCTACCATCATAATTCTTTGAGGTCAGCTCTCTCATTGTCTCTTTATGCTCTGTTTCTCATCTTTGTTTAAACATAAGCACGAAGAGAACTTTTACTCCCTCTTACTCTCTTGTCTTTTTTGTTTAGTTTCTTATTTTAACAAAGACTTAAACTTTTAGAGAGAGTAGAGAGAATTCTTTAATTGTGTACATTGATAATATTGGATCAAAGGATGGTTCTTACAAGACACAACACACACATACTTATACTAGTTTACTTCTACTTACTACATACACATACACACACTTGCACTTAGACCTTACTCCTAGTTCTACACAAGTAATGTTAAACTACTAAACCTTACACAACAACAACTCTAACCACACTAGTTTAGCCAAGGATACAAGCGAACTCTAACAACTACCTTAGCTAATACAGTAATACTAAGCTTAGACTCTAACAACTTCACTTGGTCCTTTGCCAAGCTTTATACAACAAAACACACTTTCTCTTGGGCCTAACTTGATCCGCAGCCCATTATTCTTTTTAGGACAAAACAAACACACTTTAAGCCCAACCTCCTTTTGTTGACTTGTGTCTTCCTCCTCTCTGTCGTTGACTTTGCTCCTTCTTCTCCTTACGACACAATTCTTCTTCTTCTTCTTCTTCGTCGTTGTGCTTCTTCTCTTTTCTTCATCGTCTTCTCACTGATTCCTTTTTCTTTGTTGCAAGATTTACTCAAGGATCCAAAATCCAACAAGATCTCATCCATTAGCTTAAAAACCTAGCTTGTTGAGGAGAAGACCATTAGTAAAAAAACGAAAATAACTATACCGTCTAATTAATCAACTTATAAACCAAGTTAAGATACTTGACAGATTTTAAAGCTACATTGGACATGCTTAAATTTGAAATATCTAGAAAATCTGTTGAGTTTAAACCTTTTGAGCTAAAGCTTTCGTTCTCATATTTCTTTGCAATATATAGATTGGGCAACTATCAAACTTTTTCTCTTAGAGAGAAGCTTTTGCTACATTGTACATCTCATTTTCAATAAAAATCTATACCAAATTTTTACAAGTTATTGAGAATTTTCTTAGCATAATTTATTATTAAAATACAATATTGAGTGATATATATGTTTGAACTTTTATTATTAATGAAAATTTTAGTTATAACGAGATTATTCGTTTTTTTGTTTGTTTTGCTAATGGTATTATAATAATAACTAGGTTTTAATATAGTTATCGATTGTTTTAATATAGTTTTTGGCTTAGTAAATATTTAATTAGATATAGATTGACATTAGTAATGCAAACATACTATAATGGTTCATTTTTTATTCTTTTTAACACAAATTTTATTTTATTTATATTATTAATTAGTATCATTTATGTTATTTAAATGTTTGTTTCAACAAGAAAGAAAAACGTTTACAGGATAAAATTTGGTATAAAACATATTACAAATATGATGTGTCACTTTCTTTTACTTGTTTATATTATTAAAGATTTTGCTATTAGTAAAGGAATTACAAAAATATTTTGATAAAATATTATAAACTAAATTACCAAAATATGTACACGTTTGGGCATAGTTGTATTTCTCTTATCTGTTAGTAAAAACTTTTTGCTATTGATCAAGAAATTATAGAGTAATATATTTTTGACTAAAAATCCGGATTGACACCTCCCCAGTTTTTACTCTTAACTGCAAGAGCTGATTTGATTTTAGTGATAATTCCAGAAACAATCTCATGTACCAAATCTACACATATAGTGATCGTTTTGTCACCTGTCATGATGTCTTTAGGATCAGAGCAGAAGAAAATGATCGTAGCCATGACTTCATCCAGGAGAAGGCTACTCAATTGGCGGGCTATGCCCTTACAGTCTAAAGGAACGAACTTGTTCCCATCCTTCACCTCGATGTCCTTGTCGACGTACCTCATAGCCTAAAAAGGTGTTCTATTGTGACTAATAAGGTTCTTTAACTCTACTATGAAACTCTCATGGACCATGAAGTGTTTCTCAGCGGGACTCTCCTCATCATTAACCCAATCACGTACAGATCAACATCCCTTCTCGCCAATGTTTCACCTCGGCTAGTATGTGGCTACACCTTTAGTACACTTAAGTCACGTGTCCCAGAAGAAGTCCATGCAGTATTTCTATCTAGCAGACAGAGCCAGCAGGAAACCCTCTCTATCTTCACTGCTATCCAGAGTATCAAAGCGTCGTGGCAAGTCTCGTTCTATTTCAAGAATATTATGCTCGATAGAACTTTGACGGCTTGGAAAGGCAAGGAAGAAAACACGGTCACCGCAAAAGAGGCCTTCTTCCGCATGTGAAGCCTCATCTCTGATTTAACAACTGGAAAGCACGATCCAGGATTGAGAATGTCTTAACCTTGTCGAGTTAGCTAGCTTGGCTGAACTTTGGTGTTTTTGTCTTGTCTTTTAACCTTCTTAAACTTTGAGTGTCTAAACTTCGGTGTCTTTTTTTTGTCATGTCTTAAGTCTGAATTTTGTTTTTGATAACTCAAGTTCATCCTCTAGTTCTTATTTTATAAGTTAGTTTGGCTGAACTTTGGTGTTTCTGTCTTGTCTTTTAAACTTTGAGTGCTATACTTTGGAGTGTTTTAATTAATGTGTGAATGGAAAAAAAAAATTGATTTACTTAAATTTAAAATTTGATTCAATGTGTTTATTATTTTCATATATAGAACAGATAAAGAAAATAATATTATCAGAATTCAAAGTAGATAAAATAAATAAACTTGGAGTGCACTTCAAGAAGTCAACAAAAATAGAAGATGAATTAAAATTCAATGTATTTATTCTCTTCATATAAATATTTTTTTTTTTGTGATATTTTCTATAAAGAAAAATATCTCAAATTCAAGTCAAATAGCACAAATATTTTTCTTACCAAATTGATGACTTGCCATTTAGGGACATTCCTATATATAACAAAGTGGTTTTAGATTTTTCTTCACACCCTTCGAATTTTGTTTGCTCTGTCTAGTCACCCGCATCAGTCACACCATGAGTACGCTCTTGTCCACTGTTGAATACCCCAAAGCTTTCCCATCCACTAAAGCCAAAGGCGATGCCTCAATGGTAAACAAAAAAATAAACTTCCAAAACTCATGATCATAGTTTTCGCAAATTTCTTGCATTTCCTCTTCTTTATTTTCATGTCTAATTAATGAAATCATTTTATGTGTTGTAGCTCATCGGAAGAACTCCACTTGTGTTTCTCAACAAAGTGACTGAAGGATGTGAGGCTTATATTGCAGCCAAGCAAGAACATTTCCAGCCTACTTGTAGCATCAAAGACAGGTGATTGTAAAATCTTTAATCTTCAAATCAAAGAACACATGTTTAGTAATATAACACTTTTGTTGTCATCAGACCAGCTTTAGCCATGATTGTGGATGCAGAGAAGAAAAACTTAATCACCCCTGGAAAAGTAATCAGCTTTTTGTTTTTCATATTTAATCTCAAATAATAATAATTTCTTACCCATTTAACTGATGTTTTATTTTTCAGACAACATTGATAGAGCCAACTTCAGGAAACATGGGAATAAGTTTGGCTTTCATGGCGGCAATGAAAGGATACAAGATTATAATAACAATGCCTTCTTACACAAGTTTGGAGAGGCGAGTGACGATGAGGTCCTTTGGTGCAGAGCTTGTCCTCACTGATCCAACCAAAGGAATGGGTGGAGCTGTTAAGAAAGCTTATGAACTCCTTGAGACTACTCCTGATGCTTTTATGTTGCAACAATTTAATAATCCAGCAAACACTCAGGTTCTTTAGAGTTAGAGAAATTTATAGATTCATTATTTTATTTTATATTTATTTGAGAGATGAATGTTATGTTTGGAATATTGGTGTAGGTTCATTATGATACGACTGGTCCTGAGATTTGGGAAGATACACATGGGAATGTCGATATATTCGTGATGGGAATTGGCACTGGAGGTACAGTCACTGGTGTTGGGAGATATCTTAAATCTAAAAACCCCAATGTTAAGGTGATTGATTAAGTTTTGAAGATATCTCGTGATCAGTATCGAAAAACGATTTATTTTGATCATTAATGTGTTGCAAATGGTAGATATATGGAGTGGAGCCTGCTGAAAGCAACATACTCAACGGTGGCAAACCAGGTTAACACGGGACACTATTTTTATCTTCTTTGATTTCTTGCGGTTGCTAATGTTAGAGTTGTGAACTTTGAGTTAGGTCCACATGAGATCACGGGAAATGGGGTTGGATTTAAACCGGATATCTTGGATATGGATGTTATGGACAAAGTTCTTGAGGTAATGTATAAGGCTAGACCTTCCATATTTTTCATATTCTGTCAAGTTTTAAAAGCTTATGTTTTGTGAATACGAGCGCGGAACAGGTTAGTAGTGAGGATGCTGTAAACATGGCTAGAGAATTGGCATTGAAAGAAGGTCTCATGGTGAGTGTTTTGATATATAAATGAGATAATCAGTTTTTCTTTTTTTGTTGGTTTTCTGATTTTAACTATGGAAACCTAACTTGTAGGTTGGGATATCGTCGGGGGCTAACACCGTGGCAGCGATAAGACTAGCGAAAATGCCAGAAAATAAAGGCAAACTCATTGTGGTAAGAGAGAAAAAAAAACAGTTTCTTTCTTTTTTTTTGGTGGGTTTTTGTTTTGATTTGTGAGATGAATTGACAGACGATTCATCCAAGCTTTGGAGAGAGATATTTGTCGTCTGTTCTGTTTGATGAGCTGAGGAAAGAAGCAGCAGAAATGAAGCCAGTTTCAGTGGACTGATTTGCTTTAGTTTGACCAAAATAAAAGAAAGTGTGATTGTTGTATCATGCTTGTTTTATATTTGATGTTATTTGGGAAATAATTATGTCAAATATCAAAATCAATATGTATTTCTATTTCTGATTCTCTGTTTAAGAAATGTGTTGTTGTGTGAATCATACAACTTTATAATAAGTTCCTTTTCATAACACAAAACTGAAAATTTTATTTCAGTCTCTAAGATAGTAATGATCAAGAAGCACAATTAATGTGTCTTCAATGTCAATTGCTATGATTTAACAGAATCCACCTGCAAAGTCAAATCCTTTACTCCTGCATCTTCTAACAGACGTGAGACTTGTAACTTAGTTTCCGTCTTGTCTGAATCCGCTGATACAAGGAGATGGAGAGTAGCCACGACGTCTGAGTTCGTGAAACTCCATACATGCAGTCTCTGGATACTGCAAACACCTTTAGTCTTAAGTATGTTCCTCATAGCTTCTCTCAGGTCGTGCCTGTGAGCCCTAGGGACTCTTTGCAGTAGAATCTCTGCGGAATTTCGGAGCAACGGAATGACTGAAGCAATGATGAGGATGGAAATGAAGATTGAGCTGGCTGGATCAGCAACTAACCAGCCCTTGTATTTGATCAAGAGTGTCGATATCACAACTCCAACACTCCCCATTGTGTCTGCTAAAACATGAAGAAAGATTCCTTCCATGTTGTGGTCAATGTGGCGATGCTCCTTCTTTTCACTTTTTTCAAGTTTGTGACCAGAATGATGCTCATGGTTGTGGCTATGGTCGTGGTTGCACCCCTCATGTTTATGGCTATGGGAATGATGATGATGGTCATGCTCATGAAGTTCCTCATGTTTATGGCTATCTGAATGCTGATGATGATGGTCGTGCTCATGATGCTCCTCATGTTTATGGCTATGGGAATGCTGATGATGATGGTCATGCTCATGATGCTCATCATGTTTGTGGCCATAGGAATGTTGCGAATGAGAATGTGTGCAACCAGATCCACCATGAGCATGATGATGCTCCTCGTGGAAAAAGATTAACCCGACAATATTCACGAGAAGCCCACCAACCGAAACAACCAAGAGACTATTTGTAGAAATCTCCTGAGGATCCAAGATTCTCTCAATCGACTCAAGCACAATCAAAGCTCCAACAAGAACAAGGAACACCGCGTTAACATAACCAGAAAGCACTTCAAATCTACCTCGGCCATAGTTGTACTGATGGTTTGCAGGAAGACGGGAGATATAAGACGCATATAGCCCAATTGCCAAAGCAGCACAATCAAACAACATATGACAAGCGTCTGAGATCAATCCAAGACTGTTACTCATAAACCCAGCCACAAACTCAACAACCATATACGCCGTATTGATCAAAAGAAACAACGCAATCTTCCTCGATTTCTTCTCGCTCAAAATGTGACGTAGAGGCTTCATAAACATAGTGGAAAACGACTCAGGCGATTCCATCCCAATCTCTTGATAATCTGAATACACAGAGTCCAACTCTCTAACAGCAACATAAAGCAACAAACCACAAAGCAACAATCCCCAAAGAGATAACTCAGGAAAATAGAAGAGTTCCAATACAATAGTACATAGAAACGTTACAAGAAACTCCCTCACTGAATCCTTCTTCTTCGAGCTCGAAAACTTATCGTCATTATAATTCTCACTCAACAATACTCCAAACACAACAGTGTTAGCTAAAGGCCAACCTAAATTCCCAAAAGAGACACCATCATCACCACTACCAGAGAACAAGAAACTCCAAATAGCAAGTGGGAACAACAACACAGTGGTTAAAAACAAAGACAGTAATCGAACTCGTTTCTGATCTAACTGTTTGATCTCATTCCAATTCAAAGAAACTTTCTCATAACAACCCAAGAACCCAGATAGAAACGGAAGCAACAAAGGCCAAACCCTCAAGCAATTCTCTTTAGGGTAAATCCAAAAACCCCAACTTTCAACAGATGATGAAAAAGGGAAACAATCAACACGATCCCAGCTGATAGATAACAACAACAACCCAGCAAACAAAACGCAAAACCCACGAACCTTAGATGATCTAACTCCAATTCCACTATTATCACCAAACAAGACTCTAGCTGAGACAGTACCGGAGAGTTCAGCTAATATCATAGCAGCAGCACCACAGTAACGAAGAGCTTGAAAACGAAGAAGAAAGACGAAAGCAAGAAGGAACGATTTAGCGAGAAAGAGTTTGATTTGGGTCGAAGAAAGAGA